GCCCACGGGGTGGGGGGTGGGGTGTCCCAGGGCCCCATCCCTGCTCGGCCGCTCTGATCCCAAGGCCACGCCCACCGAAGCCACGCCCAGAACCACACCCCTCAGGCCTACCTGTAGGCCACGCCCACCAGGAGCCACTCCTGCCTCCCAGCCATGCCCCCAGAGGCCCTCCCCTCAGGCCACGCCCTCATCTCGAGGGCAGCCCAAACCCCTCCCCTCTAGTGCCCGCCCACTGGAGGGACCACGGGAGTCCGCCTTCTCGCACTTTTTTCTGGGGAAGATGCTGCGCCCTCCTCTGACCTGCTCAGCTCCTTTTCCTTTTCAGGTCCCCGAAGGCAGCCCTCTTACCCTGTCCCAGGGGCCCTACCCTTCTCCCAGGGTGACTTCTTCAGTCGCGGAGCCCTGCCCCAGCCCGCAACGTCCTGCCCACCGCCCCACCCCTCAGTTGGCCCAGCCCAATGATATTCCTCCTTAGCCAGCTCTGCCTCTTGTATGGCCCCGCCCACATCCCGCCCCTCGCCCTTCCAGCCCAATAGTATTCCTCCTTTTCAGAGCGCTCCTGGTCGCCGGCCCGCTCAGCCCAAGGGCGTCCCTCCCTGGCCTCCCGCCCGCCCCTCCCCGCCCCTCCCTGCCCCTCCCTGCACTCACGCTGCAGGCAGTCGGCGTTGAGCAGGTCCTGGCACTTCTCATGGCACTTGACGCCGCACTCGGTGCAGCGCATGCCCTGCCGCGCGATGCCCCACAGCAGCCCCTCGCACTCGTAGCAGTAGGTAGGCGTGGTGGCCGTCCACACCTCGAAGTTGTGCGGTGTGGTGCAGGAGATGGGGTAGATTAAGGCTTGCAGGGTCTTCTTGTAAACGTGGTTTTTCTGCGGGAGGAGAGGCACCGTCGGCATCGCTCCCAGGCCCGCCCTCCTCAGGCCCCGCCCCCGCCCCGCGCCCAGCGCCCGGGCACGCACCAGCTCCTCATTGTTCAGCGTGCTGGAGGCTAGAGCCGACGTGATGCCCGCCTTTCGGGACTGGACCAGGGACTGGGGGAAGGCCAGCCGGTCACAGGTCGCAGGTCACAGGTCACAGGTCGCAGATCACAGCACAGGAGGAGGAAGCGGTAGGGGCTCCGAGTTAAGGGGTCTCTCCCCACCGCGGACGGACCCGGGTCACCCTAGGTGACGTCCCAGCCACACAGCAGAGCCGTCGGGAGCCGCGGACCATGGGCAGGGCAAGGCCCAGAGCCCACGACAGGGACAGCGGGAATACCCCCTGCGGAGCTGGGATTGGAGCCCCTCAGGACCGGGTCGCAACACTCACCATGGCCTGAAGCATCCGCGAGCACACGGGGTAGAAAGCAGACTGCATCAGTCCCAGAGAAGGCCTAGCCAGCCCCCAGCCCCAGGACCGCCGCCGGCAGGTGGGCAGGTTGGGCACTGCTTGTGGCCATCCCACTCTGTCACGGAAATGCCTACCAGGTCGCTCACGAGCGGGATGGGCTTCCTCTTGCGGATGTCTGGCATGCTATCGATGATGATAAGGCCACCTCCAGGGCTGCGAGGGACACGGGATGTTGAGGGTCAGGTTTCCCCAGGCCACACAGACACTGCCTGGGGCCGGGTAGGCCACCAGACCTCCCCAGGCGTGAGGGTGGAGCCTGCCCCCCCCAGGGTGGAGCTGGAAGTCACCCAGACTCCCGCCCTCAGGGGACCTTATCTGGGAAAGTCTCTGGGATGGAATGCCCTGCGCCCAGTGTGGCCAGTGCCTTGCCCGGAGTGCACAGCCCTGTGACAGCAGAGATGGCAGAGGGGCACGGACCGCAACGAGGGGACAGACAGGGCTAGGAACCGCAAGGGAGGCTCGTGCCCTGCGGCCCCACACCCTGACCTCAGAGTTCTGGCCTCAGCCCCCTCTGCATGCCCGGGGAGCAACCACACCACGTGACATCCCTAGGAGTCGAAATCTCGGCCTCCACTTCCACATCTGGGAAATGGAGTGATGGTGACCACGTTTAATGAAAACAGAATGAAGGCAAATCCAAATGCCATGCTGGAATAGAAAGGAAATCTTTCTTTTCTTTTTTCAGTCCTGGGCATGGAACCCAGGGCCTTCACACTGAGCCTGATCCCCAGTCCGTTTTTATTTTGAGACAGGGTCTCCCTGAGTTGCCTAGGCCAGGCTCCAACGCATGACCCTCCTGCCTCAGCCGCCCAAGTGCGGGGACGACGGAGCCCTTCTCTGTGCTCAGCTTTGGATACACTGTGCACACTTGAAGGCCGGCTGAGAGGGAGAGCTGATGGAGAAGGAGCCTGCTTCGCTGCCCAGCCCTTTGTGGAGACCCTGCCGAGAGCAGCTTCAGTGAGAAGGGCAGTGTCGTGAGTCCCCCTCTGGGCCTCAGAGGGTGTCCACGACGCAGGGCCTCTGCAGCTTGGGGTGGAGAGCCCTGGAGTGCCTCCCCCGTCAGACAGGCGCCAACCGGGGTCCCCAGCAGGCTCCGCTCTGGTGCCACCTCCAGCCAGGGCCCCTCTTTTATTTTTAGAGCTGAAGCCTACTCCTGTCCCTGATTCTGTGTGCAAGGGAGGCACGTAGGAAGGAGGCCACAGTCCTGATGCTAGTTGCACACACAAATGTCCCTTAAAATTATCTCCTGTGCTGTCCAAGCTCCCCACCTGCCACCCTCAAGCAGGCGCCTTGGGGACTGATGGGACAGCTCTGTGGCTCTTGTTAATTAAAAAGCCTGTAACCCAAGCGAGAACCCGAGACATTCAGAAACAGAACCAAAGCAAGCCAGACTGCAGGGCTGCATGGGGAGGGGGTGAGAACTGGTTTCTGCTTATCTTATGGTTATTTCTGCTGGGTGTGCGGCATGTGCCTGGGGCCCCAGCTACTGAGGAGGCTGAGGCAGGAGGACCACTTGAGCCCAAGAGGTCAGGGTGAACATAGCAAGATCCCATCTCAAAAACAACAAAGCAAACCAAAGACATCCATCTGTCTCCTTTCTAAACAGGGCCACTTCCCACCCTCTCTAGGCTGAGCCCTGGTTCAAAGCAGCCTGCCGGGGCCACAGTTCCTTCACTCACCTGCCCTTGAACCACAGGGACTTGGGCTCTCCTTCTCCCCGGGCCTGCAGGACAGACAGACAGACAGGCACAGTCAGTGGCCGACCCCCCTCCATTTCCACTTCCGACTGTGTTCTTAGGGCCCCGGACCCTCTGGGCCTTGGTTTATCCTTGTGTAGAATCGGCGAGTGGGGGGGGGGGAGAAATCCACACCTCTGTGTCACACACCCCATCAGCCTCGCTGCCAAACCTGGGGATTTGTCAGCACCGAAGCCAACTTCCAGTCTTAGTGGGCTCAGAGGTTAACATTTCTCTGGTTCAAACAGCAGATTCTGTGATTTCCTGATCTCCTGACAGCCTGCTTCAGTTGGATACCCTGGTGCCCCGGGGCCTTTGCATGACTTGTCACCAGACTATGTGCATCCTGCCACCTTCCGCACTCCAGGGGCCTCCGTTTATCCTTCAGGGCTCAGCACAGACGAGGGGCCACTCCCTGACCTTGAATTTGACCTGGATGTGGCTGTTGCCATGACCTCAGACTGGGCCAGGTTTCAGTTCTCTTTCCTCCTGGCCCTGAGGAAGGCTGCGCTGGGGACAAGCTGGGCCAAGGTACAGGAGCTAGCTAGGTGGAGGTTGAGTCTGATGTTGAGTTGGAGGCGGCAGCTCCGTACTCAACCCCACAGGGCCACCAGGCAAGAGGTCAGTGGCCCGCATGGGCGTGGCCAGCCTGCAGTGGGCGTGGCCAAGCGTGGACTGGGCACTGGGCGTGGCCACGTTGGCTGTGGGTGGAGAGGTGGGTGTGGTCAAAGTGGGTGTGCATTTGGATGGCAGGCTAGTCCGCATGGGTGTGGTTTTGGGAGTGGCCACCCTGTGAATGGCTGGAGTCAGGCGTGGCTGAGGGGTGTGGGTCGGGCACTGGGTGTGGGTGAACAGGTGGGAGTGGGACATTGGTGTGGTTAAAAGTGGGTTAGGTCTTGGGTGGGCCAGACTGCACAGTCCAGCAGTGGGCGTGGCCATCGTGGGGTGGGCGGGACACTGGGCGTGACCACGCTGCCGTGGGTGGGGCTCCCTCACTCACCTCCTGAAGCTGCATCCGCACCTTGTTGAAGGCGCGCAGCCAGTTGGCCTTGGCCCTGGACATGGAGTCCTGGCCTTCCCGGCCTTCATCCTCTTGGGGCCTGAAACTGCGGCGGGGGCGACGTGAGCCACGCGGCAGCTCCCCACGCCTCCCCTCCCTCCACCCCGCGTGCCCCACGTCCTCGCTGGCTGCTGTTTCCGCACCTGCCCACGGAGTCACCCGCCGGCCCCCCAGGGTCCCCTTCCCGGGTCCCGTGGCGCCCTGCGACCTCCTCACTCTGCCCGACCCCTGCTGATCCCAGCCCCACCCTGCAGCGCCCGGCCTGCCCGGCCTGGGGTCCCCACAGCGACCTGGGCCGGCCCTGCCCTCAGCCACAGCCACTACCTCTCCTCCGCCTCGGGGGGCTCAGGTGCGGGCGTCTCCTCGGTCGTGGCCGGCTTAGGGGCTGCCTTGGCTAGGTCGGGGCCCTCGGTGGGCAGCCCCGGGGCTGCCGCCTCCTTCTCGGGGACGGTGGGAGGGAGGCTCACGCGCTTGAAGTCCTTGGGCTCAGCCACCGCGGGCTCCTGGCGCAGGGCGTAGCTGGCCAGGTCGTCGGGCACAGCCTCCTCTTCCTCCTCCTCCAGCTCCTCCTCCTCCAGCTCCTCCTCGTCCAGCTCCTCGGCGTCCTGGTCCCAGCGCGGCGAGTCCTGCTGGTAGCTCACCGAGCTGTGGCACGAGTGGTAGGAGTCGCGGTCCCGCTCGTCCTCCAGCTCCGAGCCCTGCAGGCTCTGCTCCTCGGGGTCGAAGTCCTCGCTCAGCTGTGAGCTGCCCCGGCTCAGCTCGCCAGATGACGCGTAGCGGCTGCTGCCCGTGGGACTGTGGGGGCGAAGGGACCCAGGTCACGTGCGTCCCAGCACCCAGGCTTCCATTCAGCACGGACTGGGCACCTGCCGTGTGCCGGGTCCTGCTCAGGAAATGGCCCGGGTCTCGCTAAGTGGCCAGGTGGGCCTCAAACTGTGATCCTCTGCCTCAGCCTCCCAGGTAGGTTGGATTTCAGGTATGCACCGTGGCTCTCCAGATACATGGAAAGTATAGTTTGGAAGATGGTTATGGCGCGAATGTGTCCCTTAAAGCTCACACATTAGAAATGTGATCCCAAGGCCACAGTCTTGACTTTTAGCCAATCCCAGTGGCCCTCGCCTTTATCCCAGCATGCTGGGAGGCTGAGGCAGGGGGATCACAAGTTTGAGGCCACTCAGCCTGGGGAGTTTAGATACTTAGATTTTGGATTAAAATAAACACTTTTTAAAAAAGAGCTGGGGATGCACGGCTGCAACCCCAGCACTGAGGAGGCAGGGGCAGGAGGATCGCCCCACATTTGAGGCCATCCTGAACTGCATAGCAAGAGCCTGCCTCAAAAGAAACAAAACAACAATGACAACAAAAGAGGGGGACTGGGGAAGCAGCAAAGGCTGTGGTTCCACCCACAGTTTGTCATGGTCTGTTCGGAAGCCGGGGCCCGCAGATTGGGCTGTGGGGCTGTCAGGGAGGACAGAGGTTCAGTGGCCGGGCAGCTGGAAGCAGGGCCCCGTGGCCACAGGGCTGGGCAGCCTCTTCGGGGCCAGAGCACAAGGCTGGGTGCTGCAGGACCCCGTGTCAGGGCTGTGGTTCTCCCCAGAGTCCCTGTTCCCTGCTGGCCTTGTCCTACCCAGTCAGGGCATGGACACTGCACGGGGGTTAGTATTGCCCTGAATCTCAACAGTTCTCCAAGCTCTGCGATCCCCCTTGTATCAAGCTGCTAGAGCTTCCAGGATTTCCCTCTACCCTGAGCCATGTCCCTAGTCCTTTCTTATTTTTCATCCTGAGACAAAGTCTTGCTGAGTCACTAAGTAGCTCGGCTGGGCTGGAACTTTAGATCCTCCTGCCTCAGCCTTCCAGTCAAGTTTCCAGAATTTTCTTGCAGGTGTTTGAGTAAAGCAAGGGCTTCACACCCACATAAGAAAGGATTCATCTGCTCCCCTAGATCTGCACCCTGGATCCCCACCTCCCCAGCCCTCTCCACTGAGGCCTGGGGCCAGGGATGGCTGGCAGCTACCTGAGGGCCTGTGGCTCGGAAAACTCCTCGTAGCTCTGCATGGAGTCGCTGTAGGACTCTCGGGAGCCCAGGGGCGGCGGGCGGACAGAATACTGGTGCACTGAGGCATTGGGCTGAGAGGTGGTGTAGTAGGGTGGTGGGATGCTGTTGCTCGTCTCACTGCGATAGTCACTGTCCCGGTCATCCACTGCACTGTCGGGGTCATCATCTGGGAGACAGCGAGGGGAGGGACAGGGTGATGGGCTGCTAACCCAGAGAGAGGAATTTTTATGCAATGCTTGGAAGATTGTGGATCTTGTCAATAGAGATGTAGTCCTCAGAACAAGGGAGGGGGGAACCCTTGCCTGGCATCATCTGAGTCAAATTGGATCTAGAGTCTGGGCTAGGGTAGGTCATGTGCAGAAGGGGACAGGGATAAATTGCAGGGTGACCTTCAGTGCTGAGGGAGGCCGAAATTTACCAACATGCAGGCTGTCAGAAAAATGAGGTGGGGTTTTGTTCTCTCTGGCAGTGGGTTTCCCATAAGAGGGAGACAGGGTGATGGGGGACAGAGTCCCTGATGCGGGAGGGGACCGCCCCAATCTAGGCCTGCATCCAGAGCAAAGGAGCGGCTGGCACGGGCCACATCGCTGTCAAGAGTCAGGCCCTTGGGTGGCTCCACATGAGAGCGTGGACCAGCTGGGCCGAGTTTAACAAGAGCTGAAGCACACCGTGCTTTGGGCCTCCAAAATTTAAAGCAACATGTACTGGGTGTGGTGGCACATGGCTGTAATTCCAGCTATTCAGGAGGCTGAAGCAAGAGGATCCCAGATTCAAGACCAGCCTGGGTAAGATAGTGAGACCCTGTCTCAAAAAATCAAAACAAAAAGCAATATGTCTGGGCAGGAGGTCAAGCACTTTCTTGTTTCTTTCAGCAACTTCTGGAAAAATCAGACTTTCTTTTTCTCCTCCTCCTCCTTTTTTTTTTTCTTGTTGTTATACTGCAGAGGGAGCCTAGGGTCTCCACACTGAACCCCCTCAGCCCTTTTAAATTTCAGGCAGGGTCTCTCACTAAATTGCCCAGGGGGACCATCCCAGCAGCACTGGAGGGGGTTAGATCATCCTGGGGTAAGATGCCTCCATTTATTTAGTTTTTTATTCTTTATTTTTTGGAGGTTTTTGTTTTAGGTACCAGGGATCGAACTCGGTACCTAACGTTTTCAAGGCAGGTGACGGAACCACTGAGCTAAATCCCCGGGCCTAATTTTTTGTTTTTTTGAGACAGTCTCACTGTATAGTTGAGGCTGGCCTCGAACTTGCAGCAATCTTCCCGAGAGCTGGGACTACAGACATGAACCACCAGGCCCAGATGTCTCCATTTATTTTGAAAATAATGCCAGGGCTGCAAGCCAAGGGGTTGCAAGAAGCGCTAGCCCCTCAGCACCTTCAGTGAACTTGCTGATGATTTTACACACTGAGGGATGGTTTGTGCCTTTTGTGTCTTTATGTATTTTTGCTCATTTGCCAGATGTTTGTACATTTTTTGTACCTTATTTTATCTAAATATTTGTTTTATTTAAGTCTTTTTAAGATAAAATTCATCTTTCTTTTTTGTTGTTTGTTCTAGGCTGGCCTGGAACTCATGATGATCCTCCTGCCTCAGCCTCTCAAGTGCTAGGATTACAGGTGCGTGCCCCCACAGTTAAATGCATGTGTTTCTAGGTGCACAAAAATAGGTCTGATTCTTTTTTTCAGTACCGGGGATTGAATTCAGGACCTTGCACTTGCCAGGCAAGTGTGGCGCCGCTGAGCTACATCCCCAGCAGGTCTGATTGTTTTAATGTGGTCAGCCGTGTAAAAAATCAACTCCAGCCAGGTGTGGTAACACACACCTGTCACCCCAGCACTCTGGGAGGCTGAGGCAGGAGGATCACAAGTTCACGCCCAGCCTGGGCAATGTAGCGACTTAGTGAGATCCTGCCTCAAAAAAAAAAGGGCTGGCTGGGGATGCAGCTCAATGCGAAGGCCCTGGGTTCAATCCCCAGTCCAGGAAAATAAAGAAGAGGAAGGACAAGAGGAAAAGAAAGCGATTCCCTCTGGGCATCTAACACAGGAGGCTGTGGCCTGGGGCTTCGCTCTAACCCTTCGACCCCTTTCTTGAGGAGGGGAGAGGGAGAAGGAGGGCAGAGTCACAGCTGGGCCCCAGCCTCCCTCCCAGGGGCCCGCCGAGAGCACTGCCCCCACCAGACCAGCGGAGCAGGGTCCAAGGCCGGGAGGGGTGAGGGAGGGGCTCATGTGGGCCATGGGGTGTGGGGTCCCCGGGACAAGCAGGTGGCGAACACTTACTCTGTTCACCCCAGCCGAAGTAATTCCAGTTGCCTACGAGAGAAGGGCGGAATGATGGGGGTCCTGCTGCCTGTTTCCCGTCCCCCATGGCTGAGCCTGGTGGTGGGAGGGAGGATTCTGGGGTCTCCCGCTTCTTCCCTCCGGGTCAGCCTGGGACCCTGAGCCTTGGCACACCCCAGGGCTGGGTCTCAGACTGATTAATCCACAAGGGGTCTCAGGACTTAAGAGGTGGAGGCAGGAGGATTGCTTGAGCCCAGGAGTTCAAGCCCAGTCAGGGTCACACGGTGAGACCTGGGCTCGAAACAAGAGTGCGAAGGAAGAACAGCACAGAGTGGTGGGAAAGGAGCAACCTGTGTGTCCTTCCACCCTGGCTGTGCCGCCCTCTGGCAGGTGGCCTTGGGCGCCTCTTCTCTCTGCCCCGGTTTCTTGGTTTAAGAAAATGGGCACAGGAAGCAGCAGGCGCCTGTGGCACATGCGTCCCTGGGTGGGCACTGCCGGAAGTGCTGTGAGAGGTTTGCTGAATGACTTCTAGATCTTGTCCAGGGCCTCATGCAAAAGCATCTACCGGGTCCCCCTAGTGGCCCTGAGTTCTGGGAGGATCCGAAAGCAGGCAGGGCAGGGCAGGGCCAGCAGCCCCAGGGCCCTGCAGGGAACACTTACAGCACTGGCTGCTGGGCACCGGCAGCGGCTTCTCCGGCTCGTCTGGGAAGGAGTACTGCGCGGGCAGAGGCGGGGCTCAGGGGAGGAGACGGCCCCAGGCGGCCCCAGGTGGGGACCTGCCGCGGACCTCCCCTCTCAGGAGAAGGGAGCAGAGGGGCAAGACTGTGGGCGGGGACGCCGGGCCCCCACGTGCTGACCGGGGCCAGCGCCACCGCCCACGCACCTGGTCCTGGTCGCGCATGGCGTTCAGCTGCTCCAGCTTCTTGGCCCAGTAGCGCGCCTCCTCCTCGGGGATGTCTGCGGACAGCGGGCTGTGACCGTCGCGCCCAGGGCCCCGGGCCCCGACCCCCACTCCCGCCCTGCGCAGGAGCGGAGAGAACAGGAGAGGGACATCCCAGCGCGCTGGGAGGCTGAGGCAGGAGGGTCGGAAGTTCCAGCCCAGCCCAGCCTGGGCAACTTAGCGAAACGCTGTCTCAATTTTTAAGTAAAGGACTAGTGATGCAGCTCCGTGTCAAGGCCCCGGGCTGAGTCCCTACTACTGAGCAGGGCTGGAGCTGAAGGGCCTGGTTTATCTCTGCTCACCTCATTCATTTAGGTATGTCTGTGCGGTAGCGGGGGTGGAAGCCAAGGGCTTCACGCTGAGCTACATCCCCGGCCCTCGGCCCTGTTGTCTTTCCCTGCTTTGAGACAGGATGTCGGGAAGTCACCCGGGCTGAACTGCAGCTTGCAGTCCTCCTGCCTCAGCCTCCCAGCGCGCCCGTCACACCGGTCTCAGCAGGTTTCCATCCCAGCCTGGACGGACGGGGCTGTGCGGGGCTGTGCTGCTGCGCACGCGCCTGGCAGCCCCGGGTCTGTCTGCCGCTCACCTCCGCCTCTCTCCCAGGCTCTGCTCGCCCCGCAGCTGGGCCTCCCGAGGCCGCTCAGCCACTCACCCAGGGGCAGCTCGAAGCGCGTGTCCAGCAGGATGCGGTGGAAAGTGGGGTCTTTGGTGCCGCAGATCTCGCTGTCGGCCATGATGACCTGGGAGTCCAGCGTCAGCCACTCCCCCGGGCCCTCCTGGGCAGCGACAGCGCAGTCAGGCCGGTGGCCTCTGGGCCTCACGCCATGTCCGCTCCCGCGCTGCCCCTACCGAGCGCCGGGCGCGGTCCCCCGAGGAGACGGGGAAACTGAGGCTCCTCTTGCCAGCGACCCAGGGAGGCTGAGGCGGGGATGGGCTGTGGGGGCGGTGAGGAGACACACGCGGCCCCTCCTCTGACTGTGGCATGAGGGCTGCGGGCCAGGGCTCTCATGGGTGCTTTCCTCTGGTGGGTGCAGCCTCCCTCCTGCTGCCCACTGCAGGCACAGGACACCAGTGGTCCACATTACCCCTGCTTTCCCTCCACAGCACTGTAATATAATTTCTAGCTGGGCTCAGAGGGCCTGGCTTAAAGCTACATTTCCCAGAATCCATTGCAGCCACATGACTCAGTAAAGTGCTGTGAGTGGCTATCTCCTTTACTACCTTTCCTCAGCTGGAATACAGACGTAATGATTACCCTTAAACAGCCACTTTGGGTCATGAGGTAGAAGCCATGTAGGGAAAAAGCAGAGTAACGGGATGGAAGGAGTTTAAAAGGAGCTGGTGATTTGGGGGTTGTCAGGGTGACCCTAGATGTCTCCATGGATCATCTTTTTCAGGCCACATGCCTCTGGGCCCTCCCAGGCCCCCTCCTTCCCCGTCCAGAGCCCCACGGTCACCTCATTGGACTGGCGGATGGTCCGCAGTGGGATCCACACGGTGCCCACCATGGTGTCCCAGATGAGACCCTTGTTCCACACCTCTACGGTCAGCCCCAGGTCCAGGCGGTTGATCTCGCTGGGGGAGGAGCAGGGGGAGGGGGTTCAGGAGGCCAGGTCGTTCCGGTCACAGGCGTGCAGACCGGGCTCTGAGAGCCCTGGGAAGGGGTCCAGTGTTCTCATTTTTCAGAGGAGAAACAGGCCAGAGGGGCCGTGACCAGAGAAACAGGCCTCCCCGACTGCGATGGGGCGGGAGGGGGCTCCAGGGCAGAATCACAGCCGGGGAGACCGGGTCTGGGCGCCCGGAGGTGGCCCAGGACAGCTCAGGTGCAAAGGCCCTAGGGCAGCGCCTGGCGCGTGGGTGGCGTGGACTCGGGCAGCGTGGGGGTTCCGAGGCCGCCGTGCCAGGACGGGTTTGGAACGCGGAGTGCCAGGATGTGATCTGGAGGGTTAAAAATATCCCCGGGCTGCCGGAGGAGAACAGATTGTGCGAGGCGGGCGGCAGCAGGAGGCCGGGGTTGGGGGGTGGGGGGAGGTTAGCACCGCAGGGACTTGGTCTGTGCCCGGGAGATGGGGGAGGCGACCCATGCCCAGAGGCCAGGGGTGGCCTGGGGCGCGCGTGGGCAGCTGAGCAGGAGGCGGGAGGGTCGGGAGGGAGTGGCCGAGGTGGTAGTGGCCGCTAGACGTGGCCAGAGGATGTGGCTCAGGGGCGTGGTCGGACGGGGAGGAGTGGTCAGCGCGGGGGCGTGGCCGAGGGGCACGGCAGGCAGAGCACTCGCCGTGGGCGTGACCACAGTGTGAGGGCGTGGCCACCGAGGGAGGCGTGGCCTGTGGTGCGCAGACTCACAACATGAAGTCCTGCTCCCAGCTGGGCTGGCTGCCTCGAACGGCGATTGTCGTGCTCTTGACATTCTGCACCTTCAGGGTCACGTACGTGTTGAATTTCTCTGTGGCGGCGAGAGCAGGGGTGGACGAGGCGCTCAGGGACCCTGACGGCCCTTCCCAAGCTGAGATGACCCCGCTGTTTCCTGGCCTGTCCTCCCTTCCCACAGGGTCCCCTCAGGGCTCGCGGGGCGACGTGGCCCAGGGACGCGAGGTGCCCGGGTATCCTGAGCCAGGGCTGGGCGCTGACACACAACTAGACGGGCGTGCAGCTGGGGAGGGGACAAGCCTGACTCAGACGCCTCGGTTTCCCCATCTGTAGCCGATCCAAGAGGCCTTGCCTGGCCCCTGACACTGCCCCGTGCTGCCCGCACCGAGAGGCCAAGTCTGAGCCTCGGCCTAGAGCCCTCCTCCCTCTCCAGAGACAGAGGACAGAAGGACAGAGGACAGACGACATGGGACAGCAGGCAGGCGCTCACTTACCTTGGGCACCGTCAAACTTGGCTTTTTTGACTGTGGAGAGACAGAGATAGGGAAGGGTGATGGGAGAGACAAGGGGGGGGGGGAGACAGACACAGAGAGACGTAGAGAGAGACGGAGACGGGCAGAGCCCGAGAGGAGAGAGACGGAGACGGGGACACAGAGAGAAGTGAGTCAGAAGCAGGAGACAGGCAAAGACAGCAAGCACAAAGCATCAAGAGACCAAGCAGGAAAGACAGAACAAAGAAAGAGACAGACACAGGAGGAGGCAGCAGGAAGGAGGAGGAGGAGGCAGGGATGAGAGAGAGAGGGAGAGAGAGGGGGAGAGAGAGAGGGAGAGAGAAAGCATCAGACAGGCCAGCCCAGGCTGGCCCAGGGCAGAAGGAAATCTGACCCGGAAGCAGCCTCCTCCCACCCTGTCTCCATCTTGCCCTCGCAGCGGCTTTGTGCCTTTACCCCCAATCAAACAAGATCCAAAAGAAGGAACCAAGCCATAGCGGTGCTTCCCTGTCATCCCCGCAGGCTGGGAGGCCGAGGCAGGGGGATTGCAAGTGTGAGCCCAGGCTGGGCAACTCAGCGACTTAGCGCCTGAGACCTTGTTGCAAAATCAAACCCTAAACAGAAGGCGTGGGGAAGTGGCCGCGGGTGCCTCCCGAGGGAGGAGTGGAGGCAGCAGGGCAGCCGAGAGGCATGACCACCTACCGGCCACGGCCTGCCAGGCGCACGCACCTCTTCCTGGTCAGCCGTCCAGCTCGGCCTCCCCAGACGCTCCTAGGGCTGGGGTGCAGGGCTCAAAGGCAGGGGTGCTGGGCAACACGGGTGTTGGAGCCATGGCGTGCTTAGGGGCGGGGCGGGTGGATGCCAGGCCCACGGGCCAGGGTCCCATCGCGAACCAACTCACGGTGCCCAGGGACCCACTCCTCTATGGCTGGCTCTGGCCTGGCCCGTGCTGCTGCTCCCCTTTCCGGTACTGGGGATTGAACCCAGGGCCTTCGCACTGAGCTAATTCCCCAGCTCTTTTTAAAATTGTATTTTCATTCATTAATTTTTTTATTGAGGGTCTCCCTAAGTTGCTAAATTGCCCAGTCTGGGTAAATTTATGATCCTCCTGCCTCTGCCTCCCCCAGTGTTGGGAATACAGCGCCTGGCTTCCCATGCCCTCCATTTTATCTCCTTGTTCCCTTTGAAAAGCCTTTCTCTGCTTATGGAGGAAATGCGTGCATGTTTTACAAAACCCACAGCAACCAAAATTGTGGCATTGAAGCCAGGCATGGTGGCACATGCCTGTCATTCCAGCACTCCAGGAGGATCACATGGCAACTTAGCAAGACCCTGTCTCAAAAATTTAAAAAAGGGGTTGGGATTTATCTCATTACAAAGGCCCTGGATTCAATCCCCAGCACCCCCAAAAGCTGCTGCATGGAGAGTAAGGTTCTATCTACTACAGCCCCTTCTCTCCAGGGTGCAATCAGCAGAGCTGCTTCTGGTGACCCCGGAAATAGTTCACGCATCTTCGTTCTAGCGCACAGTGCGTTATTTTACTTCCTATGCAGACAGCCCCACCGGGCACCCATACTCCTGAACCTGCGGGTTTTCCGTGGATCCTGGCGGGTGCTCGAGTGAACAGAGAGTACATTCCTAGAAGCAGAATTGTGGTTCTAGGGACAAACACCGCAGCCCTGTGTCCTGGGTTGCTTCTCTGTCTCCTGTTGCTCGAATTTTTGCCTCGCAAACGCAATTGAATGGAGCCAGGACCCCCACAGCTCCCACTGCGCGTTGGCAACACAGTTCCTTCCCGCTGCAGAAGAGGGAACAGCGAGCTCCTACGCCAACGCCAGCTTCCCCACCGAAAAGGCCCAGATTCTCAAATGCAAAGAAACCTGGCATCCAGCCCACTCCACGTGGGTTTGTACTGGGACGTGGGGTGTGGACCGAGCTCTTGAGGGGGCCTGGGGGAAGGGGGCGAGGACAGGTTTGGCCTGGACACAGAAGGCTGGCTCTGACTCCGCGGTGTGACCCGGACCGGAACCCGCTGGGGCCGCCTCTGTCTCTGTTCCTGTCCCCCAGATCTGGCTCCGTGCCCTGCTCCATCTCTCCCACTCACCCCTTCCAGGCCCCTCCCTGGGTTCGCACCCCGCCCGGTCCCCTGGCCCCAGCCCACCCCCAGCGCCCTCTTCCCGGGAGGCCAAGGCAGGAAGGGCGGGGCAGGGGTGGGGCCTCAGGGCCCTGGAGGTGCCGGGTCGGGTCCAGCCGGGACCACGGGAGAGGGGCTCGGAGCGGTCTCCGCCTCTGCATCTGTCTCTGTCCACACCGCCCCCGGGGTCCCCTGCATGTGTTTCCTCCCCTTCTCTTCCTCCTGCTCCCCCTCTGTCTCTGTCTGTCCCCGCTCTCCCGGCTGGGCGCCCCGGCTCGTCTGGGGTCCTCGGCGGTGGGTGCCTGGGGCTGCACCCCAGTCCCTGCTGCTCTGGGGGGCGATGCTCCCGTGCCATCCCCCGCTCAGCCTCCGGGCAGCAAAGGGCCCCTCGCGAGGCCCGCCCCCCTCGTCACGCGGTGGCAATGTCGTCAGCGGGAGGAGGTGCCGCCCCCAGCCAGCCGCGGAGCTATTTTTAACGCCGCCCGCCCTGCGGCCCTCTTGCCCTGCCCGGGCAGCGTCGCGGAGCCTGCACCCGCCTGTCACGGTACTGGTGGCCGTTTTTTTCTTGCTGGGTCTGGTTCTAAGCGTGCCTGGCTGGACACCGGGAAAGACCCAGGTTCTGATGCGGGGCCCGCGCCGCCTGCTGGGTGCAGGGCCTGCCCGGCGTCGCACGCCAGGACGGGGTCTGCCCGCGCCGCCCGCACGGTGGCCCTGTAGCCATCGGGTGCGCCGTGGTAGTAGCTGCTCGTTAAATCGTGCCCCTGCCTGCCGGGCTGAGACCCTGGCGAGAAGGCCCAGACACACCAGGGCGGTGTCCGCGGTGCTGAGCGCTCCCTCCTCCGGGTGTACCCCAGGAACTCGGCCTTGGGCCTGGGGACCCCTCCTGGAGCCCAGCTCCAGCAGCACCTCTCCGGAAGTGTCCACTTTCGGCCTTCGGGAAAGCGCTTCGTCCCCATAATGAAGCCACCACCGATTTCCGGATTGGGCGCCCGCTCCCGGCCTTCCCGAGCGCGCTGCAGGGCTCCGGTCCCCGGCAGGCAACCGGGCGAGGGCGCGGCTGGGCCTGGCAGGAAGTGGAGCCGGGGTGCCCTCGCTGGCCCCCGTGGGGGAGTGCGGACAGCCGGGCCGGGCACCGGGATGGGCCGCCAGGCTACGGCGTCAGCCAGCGCCGCTACGGCGTCAGCCAGCGCCACTCCGGCTCTGGGATACCGGGCAGGCTGCTAAACCTCTGGCCCTCAGTTTTCTCCTCTGTAAAATGGGGCTGCTGCGGATCAGAGAGGGGAGGGGCAGAGCCCCAGCACCGCGCAGGACAGCCTGGGCGCACAGGGCTTGGTGAGGCGTCCCCTGAGCAACTCACTCGTCAGGACGTGTGGAGTCTCGACCACACTGAGGGGCTGGCCTGGTGTTGCACACCGGGAATCTCAGCTCTCTGGAAGGCTGAGGCGGGAGGATCGAAATTTCCAGCCCAGCCTGGGCAACTTACTGAGACCCTGTCTCAGAATAAAAAGTAGGAAAGGCTGGGGATGAGCTCAGTTCAAAGGGGCTGGGTTCCACCTCAGTACCGGGAAGAGCGGGGCGCGTTGAGGCCTGTCCAGGGCGACCTCCCATTTGGGCTCAGGCTGCACGCGAGAGCGCGCGTGACCCGGGCAGGCGTGCGTGCGTGTGCACACGGACAGGCCGCTGTGACCGGCAGCGACGCTGTCACGCGTGTCCGTGGCCAGTGCCTGCTGTGTGCGCGCCCGTCTGTTCCAAGGGCTGGGCCTTAGCGCGTACACAGGGCCCACGTCTGGGTGTTTGCTCGGAGGTCCGTTGACCTCTACATGCCCAGCGCTCTTTACGTCACTAACTTGTCCAGGATGGGCTCGAACTTGTGACAATCCTGCCTCGGCCTCCCAGAGAGGAGGAGAGACCTTTGTGAGATGCGCTCTCAGGCAGCAGCATACGAGGGCGACCCAGATGTGCGCCTGGGGTCCTGCGGCCTCGAGGCCCGACCTGTGCCAGCGGTCCCGGCTCCTGCGCCGGCTGCGCTGCCTAGAAGGGTCTGGGGTGAGTGCGGGCCCCCGGAGGGGCCTGCGGGGCGGGGCTGGCCTTCCCTCAACTCCTGGGATGCGAGGACGCGCGGACGAGGGCGCCCCTTCCAGCCCCAGGCCCGGGTCGCTCCGCCCCTCCCGCCCACGTCATCCCAACCTTGTGCCCCTCAGCACTGGGGGCGCGGAGGAGGCTCCTCCCCTAGGCCGCCCGCTCTCGTCCTCGGGCTGGCCTTTGGGGTGCGTGGGGCCCCCGCTTCCGCGCTCTCCGAGCCCAGCGGGTCGGGGTGGCCTTTGGTGGCGGGGTTTCCTCTGCCCCCCGCCCCGCCAGGCCGCACTTCGCTCGGGAAAGGGGCGCTGTCCCTTTAAGAGCCCCGCGTCCACGCCGCGCCGAGCAAGGGCGGGCGGGTTTGTGAATGGAGGGGGGAGGGGCGGTTCCCACGCACGCGCGCCCGCGGCCCCCGCCCACCGCAGGCCGTGTGGGGTGGGGTCTCCCGAGCAGCGCCGAGGGGGGCTCGGCCTCCCCACCCCCCGCGTGGGCCTGGGCGTGGGCCCCGCAGATGGCCTCCGCTCCCCGGGACTGCGCCCCGTGTGTCGCCCGCCCGTGGGTGCGGCTGCCAGGGCCCGGGGTCGCCGGCCGGCGGGAGACCCTCCTGCGCCGGCCGCCTGGCGGGGCATCAGGACCAGCCCAGCCCCGACAGCCCGGATCACCGCCCGCGTCCGCACGGCCCGGCCGGCCCTACCTCCCACGCAGAGCAGCGACATGGCTCTGGCTCAGTGGCCGCGCGGCCGGGGCAGCTCCGCGCTCGCCGGGGCCCGGGCGCCGCCTGCCATCTTGGTCAGCACCGGGCGCGGACAGCGCCGACGCCGGTGACGCGCGGGGCGGATCCAGGCCGGCCCCGCCCCGCCGGCCTGGCCCTGGTCCTGCGCCCTCCGCGCTCGGAGTCTGTTCGCTCTCTAAGCCTGTGGGGGTCGCATCCTTCACCCTGTGCACCCGGGGAACTCCTATTCACCCAGCAATGCCCAGGCCCACCGCAGCCCCTCCTCCAGGAAGGGACGCACCGAGCCTTTTTTATTGGAGCCCGGGCCTTTGTGCTGTCTTTCTTAAATTTTTTTTTAACTTCAAAACAGGGTCTTGCTAAGTTACTAAATTTCTCAGGCTGCATTTAACCTTGTGATTCTCCTGCCTCAGCCTTCCAGATCAGCACTGAGTCTTTATTCTCACGCTTTGGACTCAAGCCCCGCCCCTTCTGCTTGGCCCTAACCCCAACACAGTTCTGTTTAGTGTTTAGCAGCAGCCACCAGGTAGTGCCTGGAAGGGCGCCCGCAAACCTGTGGGTTGTGTCTCCCGTGCCACGACCGCACCTGGGTGAGCCCCGCGAGTCCCCGCCCTGCCCTGCACACAGGGAGGAGGCTCACGAGAGTGCAGTGTGTTCAAAACCCAACACACACGCACACACACGTCCCTCTCTCTCTGCTTGCCAGCATGAACCTTCACGCCTGTGCCTCGGTTTCCCTGCCTGTGGAACAGGGCGCTCACAGGCCTGGGCCGCAGCTTTGCAGAAGTGCTGGGGTCGTGTGCCTGACCACCGCTGTTACAGTTCTTGCTGATTTTAAAGTTTTAATTGGCTATCCGCCAGCTACCGGTAAGGAATAAAGAGCAGCAATGTCGGATTTGGATTTAAAACCTGTGACCCCCGCATCCTGGGAGGCTGAGGCAGGAGGGCTGCACGTTGGAGTTCTGCCTGCAACTTAGTGGCCTAGTAAGATCCTGTCTCAAAATAAAGGGGATTTTCCAAAAGGCCTGGGCTGCAGCTCAGCGTGAGGCCTCGGGTCTCCCCCAGCCCTGCACAGCAGAGGCCTCATGCAGCGGGCCATGGGCCCCCGGAGGAGCCTGAGTTTAGTCTCCCAGGCCCCCGATGCCCTCTGCACAGCCGGCGCTGGGCCGGGTCCTGGGTGCTCCAAGTGCTGGGACTGGAATCGATGCTGACTGCACCCGGCTGAGCCGCCGCCACTGTGTGCGAGTGTGTGTGAGTGTGCATGCCGCGTGTAGCATCCCGAAGTTTAGGGGACTTCTCTCCAGCCACAGAGGCTTTGGGTTGTTTCCTGGTCGGGACCGCAGGTATTCTCAGTGTGCTGGTGACACGGCGAAGGCGGGCTGAGTCCCCAAACACGGTGCTCAGCTTCCCAGCAGGATGGCACGATTCTCATCAGGGCGCCATATGGAGGGTGGAAGTGGCACCTTATTTTCTGCTGGTTTTCCCTCTGGTTGTTCATGCAGCTGAACTTCGTGATTCCTGGTTTCTACTTCAGGAGAAAGGCCTGCTCAAGGCTCATCCATCTCTAAAAGTCTGTATGAGCTGGGTTTGGTGGCACACACCTGTAATCCCAGCACTTGGGAGGCTGAGGCAGGAGGATCACAGTGAGAAACAAACAAAAAACAAAGGAGAAGTTTGTATATGCACAGCCCTGGCTTCCAACCCCAGCACCAGGAAAAAAATTATTATTTTTTTAGTTTCTTTTTTGGAGACAGGGTCTTGTTATGTAGCCCAGGCTGGCCTTGAACTCATGGCAATCTTCCTCCTTCAGCCTCCCCAGTGGTCGGATTACAGGCATATACCACCATGCCCAGCTCACCAAGAAAAGTATTGACTGCTGGGTGCAGTAGCACATGTCTATACAGTAATCGAAGGTACTGGGGAGGCTGATGCAGGAGGACTACGTGTTCAAGTCCCATGGGGCAATTTGGTGAGATCTAATCTCAAAATTAAAAAGAAAAGGCTAGCTCAGTGCAAAGGCCCTTGGATCAATTCCTCCCCATACACACAAAAGAAGAAGAAGAAGGAGGAGGAGGAGGAGGAGGAGGAGGAGGAGGAAGAAGAAGGAGAAGAAAATTATTGGCTGTGAAGGCCAAGTGTAGTGGCACTTGGCTATAATCTGAGAGGCAGAGGCAGGAGGGTTGCAAGTTGGAGCTCAGCCTGGGCAGCATAGTGACTTAATGAGACCCTGTCTTGAAAAAAAAAATTAGTTGGGCGTGGTGGCACATACTTGTGATCCCAGCACTGGGGAGGCTGAGACAGGAGGTTTGCCATGAGTTTGAGGCCAGCCTGGGCTACATGGTGAAACACTGTCTCTAAATAAATAAATAAATAAATAAATATAAAAAGGACTGAGGATGCAGCTCAGTCCAAGGGCCTTGGGTTCAATCCCTAGTACTAGAAAAAATAAAAATAAAAGAAAGACTGTCTTTCTTAATGCTTTGTAGTTTTTTTTTTGTTTGGTACTGGGGATCAAACTCAGATCCTTGTGCTTGCGCAGCAGGTGGCGAGACCACTGAGCTAAATCCCCAGCCCTGCAGTTCTTATTCATGTTACTTGAGTCTTTGTTGGTTTCCTGTGTTGTAAATCTTCAATTTTGTAGCTTGTCTTTGGTGTTTAGTGCATCATTTTCTGAACAGAAAGCTCTTAATTTTCTAAAGAGCATTTGACTTGTGAAACATCAGACGTGCAGTCGGGCTCCTGGAGCAGGGGCTGCTGGGGGCAGGGCTGGGCGACAGTGCACTCCCTGCTTTCTCGATGCCTTCTCCCTCTGCTGTGGGACCGCCAGGGCCTGGAGCCTTCCCGTGTCTTCCACTCCAGCTTGGGGAGTCCCGTCCGGTACGTCCTAGACATTCCTCAGGTGGAGCAACATCTTCCCTCTCCCCTTTTTATTTCACTGTTGAGTTTTTCAGACAAGATCTCTCTATGGAGCCCAGGCTGGCCTCCAACTTGTGACCCTCCTGCCTCAGCCTCCCGGGTGCTGGGATGACAGGCGTGGGCCCCACCCGGGCTTTGCTCCAGTTGAAAGTACACCATGCAGCAGCCCTTGGTACCTTCACAGTGTTGTGCAGCCGTCGAGTCGCCTCCACCTAGGTCCAGAAAATTTGTGTCGGCCCAAGAAGGGGGCCCAGCCGCTGCCTGGCTTCATGTGCATCTGGATTTCCCGTCTGCCTCCGGCCTGGGCCTCTGCGATGTGTGCTGCGCGCTGTGCTCCGGGAGGAGCCTGGGGCCAGGATCAGGAAGCTCTGCCCCTGGGGCCGATCTGAGAGTGGGCGCGAGATAAGGCCCATTCTCACGTGATTTCCTGCGCAGGTCAGCTGCCCCAGCACTGTCTGCCCAGACTGCATCCAAGCGTTCCTCACGCGTGGGCTTCACGTTGAGCCAAGCAGGCCGGAGGCCCCGCCGCAGGCTCTGCCCGGGCTTTGCCAGCCCCGGGAGGCGCGGATGCCTGCGGGGGCTTCCGCTGACAGGAGACCCCAGTGACCTCACCCATCCACGCGTTCTCCTTCTTCAGTGCATCTGAGCGGTACTGTGCCTTTTTTCTCGGAACGTGTTTCGTGGAAAAACCAATGAGGCTGGGCGCCAGCACTCTGGGAGGCTGAGGCAGGAGGATGGCAAGTTCCAGCCCAGCCTGGGCAATGCGGTGACTTCGTAAGACCTCATCTCAGAGTAAAATATAAAAAAAGGATTTGGGGATGTAGCTTAGGTTCCATTTCCCACACATACAAAACAAAATAAAACAAAAAACCTCAAAAAGTAGAAAAGAAAAACCAACCAAAGTCCACTTGGGACGTTGACTGGAATCGCCTCAAAACTGTAAGCCAAACTGAGCACCAGCATATCCACATTTTATGATACTGACTCCTCCAGTGTGCAAACAGTGAATCCAATGATCTGTCTTTCAATCACGCTAGTAGCTTTCAGGTTTATTTCTGGTTGCTCCGTCGCTTTGAGGCCATGGGTCAGTGGCCTCCGCAGCCCACGCGGTGTCTTCGTTTGTGGCTCGAGGCGAGCGATGCCGCCGGTCGTGTTCTTGTTAGTGGCGCCCCCAGTCTGCTTCGGTCACGGGCACGGTCGGCTCTCGTGCCTCCGGTCAGCGACGCCGCCCGCACGCTGCTCCCTGGCGCGCCTCCCTCGAGCTGCCGGGCCCTGTCTTCCCATCTCTCTTGGCTTCCGATGTCTCCTCCCTCTCCATCACCCCGTGATCCTCAGAGAAGCCCTGCAGCCAGACGTGGCGCACCCCTGTGAGCCGCACTCTCTGGGAGGCTGAGGCAGGAGAACCGCAGGCTGGAGCCCAGCCTCGTCAAAACTGGCCCATTTCTTACGTTAAAACACAGGAGAAAACAAAACAAAAACCAGGAGAAGCGGCCCCCTCCCAGCAGCTGCCAAGTTCAGCTCTTTCTCGGGAAGAGCGGGGGTTTCCCCAGCAGTATCAGGTTGTCCCCGGTGGACAGGACGGGGCGCGCCTCGGGAGCCGGGCTGGGGACAGCGAGGAGAGCCTCAGAGCCCAGGCGTCGAGGAAAGGGCTGGGGGCGGGCCCAGGGCCATGGGGAGCCCTGGAGAGTGCTCTGCCGTGTGCGCTCGAGAACCCTTCTACAAGCAGGCGTCGGGGCGCACGCCGGTCCTCCCAGCACTCTTGGGAGGCTGAGGCAGGAGGGTCGCAAGTTCAAACCCAGACTGAGCAGTTTAGTGCGGCCCTGTCTCAAAATATAAAAAAAGGATTGGGGAAGCAGCTCAACCCGAAGGCCCTGAGGTCAGTCCCCAGCACTGAAAAAAAAAGAAGCCGGGCGAGGTGGCTCAGGCCTGTAATCCCAGCACGAGGGAGGCAGGCAGGAGGATTGCCGCGAGTTCGAGGCCAGCCTGAGCTACACAATGAGTTCAGGGCCAGCCTGAACTACAAAGTGAGACCCTGTCTTCACAAACAAAACAAAAATAAAAAAAGAAAGAAAAGTTTCCTGGAAAAGTTCAGGAGCCAGGGGCTCCAGCGACCCCCGAAGGTGCAGCCCTCCCTCTGCAGGCTGCACGGCGGAACTAACGCGAGGAAGGAAGTGATTG